CTGTCAAATACAATGGTAATAGCAAAGAAGAAGCTCTCCTATCATCAATAAAGCCACTAGGGAAGTCGCTAATGGAGCCAGCCATATTCCTGGCTGGTATCACTGGCTGGAGATTCCAGTCAGAGGATGACAGGAACCCCTGGGAAATGTATCTCAGTTATGACACAGTTAATGTTTATGATAGAAGTAATATGTTGTCACTGTCTCTCTATGAAGCTCAAAATCCAAACATCTTACCACATTTTTACTCTTCTGAGAGAAGAAGGAATGTCACTATTGGACCAGGTGTAACGCCATACAGTTGCTATGCTCATTCTTACTGTCTTGCAAATTCCTCAGATCAGTTCACTTTGACTTTCCAAGTTTGGATGACAATGATATTTCACTTGTAGAAACATTTGTTAAAGGTCTTAATGACCACTACACGTATACTGTACCAAAAATAAGACGCCTTGACTTGCGCTATGCGTAATGATTCAATGGAAATTGCAAATAAGTGTTTACGATGGATTATGAATAGCAACTTTTTGATGGAACTTGAAGAAGTTAAGTTAAACTCCAATTTTATGAAAAGTGATCTCATTCTTTCTTTTCTAAAATCACTTATCAATCTTCATAAGTTTAATATATTTGATGATGAGATCTTACTACTTATCTTGGGAGTGGCTTGCTGGACTACAGCCTCTCAGTGAACTTAAAGTATTGGAGATCACTGGCAGGGGGAAGCTGCAGTCTTCCACCAACTGATCCACTTTGCTGGCTGATAGAACATAGACTGGCAGAAATTGTGATTGATGTAACTTCCCCTCCAGCACATATATGAAATTCACAGTCCGACAGATGTACTTGTTGACTCCGTACTGAAATCAGCTGTGAGAGGAAATATAATTACTAAAATGGTGTTGCCCAACATATCTCGTGAGACCATGGCTGGTGTCCGTAGCATCTTACTACACTGTCCCAGTCTTACCTCATTGGAGCTGAAGAGAACCAGACTGGGCTATGATGGAATCCTCTACATATGTAGTGCACTGAGAACTAACAAAACACTAACACATCTTGTGATTTATTGATGATCTTCAATTGCCACCATACACAAGTAGGAATAGAACCTTACCTCTTTTACATCAATGGAGACAGTTCCTCTGCCAGGTAAAACTACCTGCACTGACTTCCTTCTGGAACTAAACGACATTCTCAAGTACAACACTACTCTCGAAGTGATGAAAGATCCAGTCTGGGTTATTCCTCCCTCTCTCTGCTGTTGAAAATTTTTTTGGGGAGTATCATCAGTGGACAGGACTTGGACCACTTCAACAGTTCAATGTGGGGGCTGTCCGTAGTGACAGGTCTGCTAATCTCAGGAGATCATTCTCATCCTCAGATCTGACTCAACCACAGAATATACTCGTCTGGGGAAGATCGTTTACATTTAGTGAACAAGAGCCAAAGAAATCGATTTCAAGAAGCTATTTTCCAAGAGGAAGGAGGAGGGAAAGAGAGTTAATCTCTCTCCCTCGTGCACTGCGCCACGACACTGCAGTTCTGACAGTCCCTCTCTGGTCTAGACCCTCGTCTCAAGACAGTGCCTGGGATATCTCATCTCGATCAGTATGTGGAGTCACTCAGACACCTAGCTACAGGGAATGATGAGGATAGCTAACTAGGTCACACTAGTGTATATATTCGTGACGCGTTTACCAGCTTTATATAATAACTCAAAATATGATTAAAGCCAAGGACTAAACGAAGGATGAATTTGGACATACGTGGCAATTTCTTTTTTCGACTCTTGGAGCGTGAGAATAATCATTCACGTGGTAAGTGTTAGTACTTAGAGGATAGATACACTCTAAACACAAATCCAGCTATGTATAAGTATATAATAGTCTAAACAAACCCCACTCTTAAGTCATGGGGGACATGGGATGACTAACTAAATGTATTGTAGGGCCATAGCTGATTCGAATCGGACCAATCAGATCCGCTTTGTTAGTACGAGGTTCAGTTTCTCATAGAACCTGTGTGAGCTAACAAAGTAATCCGAAAAACATGATATGAGACACTTGTCTTTTCTGTTGATTTTCAACAAGTTCAAAAAAGCATTTCATGTAATTTTGAAATGGTATCCGACACAAAACATGATCTGTACAAACGTTGATCAAAAACCCTGATTCTTGATTTTCTTTTTCACGAGAAAGTTTTCTATGTCTGCTTTGAAGGATCTCCCTCTGCCATGTATATACCATATTAGATAGCCGAGGCAGCTCACGCCCGCCAAAAACCACCGCAGCAAATAAGGGGGTGGGGCTCCGCAGGAGCGACGTGCTGCGCGACAAAGATAGTAAGTCGACGGCGAACAAACGCCTTCGGTTATAGCAGCCCTCACAGCGCCTGAATTCACCCTCTATTGATTGCGATGGTTCGCGAAGGTCTCCTGTCGCGTTCTTCGGATGAGTGGCGGAGGACCAGTCCCGCAGCGGGAGTAGCTAGAAGCGGCGGAGCAGAAGGTATCCTAGCGTTCGGCGGTCAATAGTCCGCACGAGATGACGGTCTTGCGCTCTCTAAGTCTCTTTCTCGCATCTTTCAAATTCCCTGTGCTGGGGGAAACGCAGTGGCGTATACGGAGCTGATTTTGCTCTGCACTAAAAATGTTCTGTACTCCGTATACCGGGACTACCGGATTCAATGAACCCTAGTGCCATCCCGGCGGCCCCCCATTAATTATAGTGCCCTCGCTGCGCTCGGGACACTACCAAACGGGAGGCCCTCGGGTTCATTGAATCGGTAGGTCCTCGCACGTAGTACAAAACATTATATATATAGACCTTGCAGAAGTGTTTGGGGAAAGACACCTCATGTAAAAGTTGTTCCATCCTACTCTAAGTGTATGTGGTATATCATATTTGTGCTTTGAGGAACCCCGCTGCCAGTCTGAATGTAATTATGAGAAGATTGGACAAAGAACCTTCATATGCAAGTCTCAGTAGATGCTACGGCTCAAGAATGAAAAATTTTTACGAAAGTACTCAATATAAAAATGCCTATAATTTATTTTATCCAGAGTGCATGAATAGCTGTGTACATAATTATAACTCAGAGTTCAATGGAAGGAGTTCTCCCTCTCTCCCACTCCCTCAGCTGGTCTTCGTAGGCCAGACTCTTGTCTATGAGATGCCAGCACTTTCCTCTCAGGACCCCCCACGCCTCGTCAAGACTCATGCCACTGCTCATTACCAGGTGGGCCAGAACCACACTCGCCGACCTTGACCGACCGAACAACATAACCAGCACTCTTCCTCCTCTTCCACTCGATTCGATCTCGTCGATAAACCTAACACAAGCCGTCCAGCACTCCATCATTGCTTGTGTATTAGAGTCCCTCACGTCACAAGTCAGTACTGATATGTCCTTCAGTTCTCCCCAGTCTATTGGTTGGTGGCGGGAGACTATCATGTGAGTGATGCCAAGTCTCACGCAGAGGGCCGCGTGTGTTAGCGGAATGACTCGACTCCCGAGAAAGATGTGTTTCGTTATTCGGTGAGGGAGTGGTTCCATCGTCATGAAGTCTACGTGGCCACAGAGGAAGCTGTACTCGGCCGCAAAGTCTTCGTAACTGCACCTGCAGAGTTATAGAGTTCAATATCAAGAATGAAAGCTGTACGTAAACGATTCTGATAAAGGCAGTTAGTGGCTAACGCAAGCTTTAAGAACATGCTACACTCCAATGTGCTTAGCATACTAAAACCCTTTCCTTTTACAGATATCTCCCAGCTAGTTGTTCCCGTACTTGATTTAGGGCTAGCCGAACTTCTGGCTGCTGAGCTGCCCCGGATAAGCTCAGTGGGTAGAACACTTTACCTAGACTACAGAATGTCTTGGGTTTCATTCCCACCCAGAACACTCTTTTTTTCTTTGGAAAACAGTTTTCTCCGCACTGAAGTGGTTCAAGAAGGTTCGAGGAGGTTCGATGCAGTTGAACCACTCCAACTAGAGTACAAGCATCCTACACAGTGTTATCCTTGGCACATTAAAGCTTTGCAAGCTACTCCTACACATTGTATGGAAGGTTATGTTACTTAATAGAATGCGGAGAACGTAATGGACTGGGCAGGTGCTACCACTCAACTCTAAGATCCAGATCTCCTTGGCAGAGTCGGCAATGGTGAGACAGAAATGCTCAAAGTAATCGAACCCTGGTTCCTCCAGTGACAGTGACTGAGGTACGTAGGTAGACACTGCCTTCCTCTCTCTCTGGATCCTCTCCAGTCTCCGTGCCAGCCACTCGGAGTGGAACCTGGCCGCGGGGCTGTTGTCTCCGTACAGGAGAACTGGACTGGGGTTCTCTGGTCTCATGTACCGTTTCACGTAGGAGTGGATGAAGTCTATTAGTAGCCGCTCTCTCTCTTCTTCCGAGGTCCTGTGAGGATAGCGACAGTAAGTAGTATAGTGAAGCGCGTAAGAGCAATCCATTTTTTTGGAAAGGTAACTTTATTCCACAATGCACCTCATCATCTAGCTAGCTACACACACTAATCCACTCAAGGTTTAGCTAGTGTATCGCCAGGATCATGCATTTTTTGACGATGCATGCATTCATGGAAGCAGATGAAATCATTGCTAAAGGTACCTTCTGCTAATAGTACGAAGCACAACATATCTATGTAGGAAGCTTGAGTAAAGTGTCCTTACAGGTTTCTTGCGCTGGCGTCAAGGGCTCGATCTCGGTTAGTATATAGCAGGGTTGGCTAAGTATGTCATTGCTCCGCTGCTTCGGAGTATATAATATTATTGCATGCTAATACGAACATAACACTAACTAACTGGAGGGGAGGGTAGGGGAAGGAGACAGCGGTGGCCATGTGTCCTCGAGAGTACTCGTGAGAGGGTCGTATGTCCATTACCAGATGGTGCTCGTAGAGTGGGAGATTAAACACGTCGTCAGGACCCACCGTCCTCAGTAGAGACGAGCCGTCTGCAGTAGCTGGCCGTGCCTCCACAGATGAAGTGGTCTGGGCAGACATCGGACTTGTACACCCTCTCTCAGCGCGCATCATACGCATATACGCCGCCCTAAACGTGAACTGTATATACGTGGCTATGTTGTTTAGCCACAGAAATGGGAGGGGCGGGGCTGGAGGCGAATTCATGAGCGCGCGGCCGTCGCTCAAGAAAATATGCGCCGGCACGCCCACCGTTGGGAGCTCACTGAGGAAGTCAGTGTGTTTCTCAGTTTCTCAGCAGCTATTCGGTCCAGGCACCATAGTCCAGAAGCCGTGAGTACCCCAAAACCTGTTCCTCGCGGTAGGCTAAGCTTAGAGTATATTGGTGTATATAGTAGGCTACCGGGGGAAAGGAAACTAGCTAGTGCTCATAAAGCAAGGGCGGGGCCGTGATGGCTACTCCACACAGCCCTACGACCCGGACCGCGGCCGACCAGTTGTCTCGCGAATTAGGTGAAGGCGATCTAAAAGTTATATCTGAAGCCCTTCAACCGATTGCCGGAAAGTATTTGCTTTTCGGTATACAAATCGGCGTTAGCCATAGTGGTATCAAGAACATCAAGGAAGAATATACCAATCCCAGTGTGTGTCTCCTTGAAATCTTATCCATTCGTTTGAAACAGGATCAAGCTCTCACATGGAATGATATTGACGCAGCACTCAGGTCAAATAGTGTCGGTGAACATGGGTTAGCCAACGAAATAATAGAACGTATTGGTTATGAACTTAGTTTATCTGATGGTGGTGGAAAACAACCTTCACAAAGGGGCCAAGGAAAAGGGAAATCAACTAAGAAAGCTTCTACAGAACATGATACACAAAGTGAAGAAGGGCAGTGTTCAAGTGAAAAATCCCATGGCGATGAACAAGAAACACCAGAAAGAGGCAAAAGAAAAGGGAAATTCACTGAGAAGTATTCTCCTCTTCATTATACTGAACTCAGTAAAGAAGAAGGGCAGTTTTCAAGTTCACACGATGGACAAAAAAAATCAGAAAAGGGCAAAAGAAGAAAGAAATCAACAAAGAAAGCTTCCCCACAACATTACACTCAGCTAAGTGAAGAAGAAGAGCAGGATTCAAGTGAAGGTGGTGGACAACAAACATCACAAAGGGAAAAAAGAGGGAAAAGAAAATTAACAAAGAAAGCTTATCATACACAACACAGTGAAGAAGAAGGGCAGTCTCCAGGTGAAGAATCCGAAGGCGATGAACAACCAACAAAAAGGAGCAAAAGAAAAAGGAAATCAACAAAGAAAGCTTCCCCACATTACACTCAATTTAGTGAAGAAGGAGGACAGTTTTCAAATGAAAGTGATGAACAACAAACATCAGAAAGGGAAAAAAGGAAAAGGAGATCAACAAAGAAAGCTTCCACAGAGTGTCACACTCAACTAAGTGAAGAAGAAGAGCAGTTTTCAAGTGGAAAATCACCAGAAAGGGGCAAAAGGAAAACAAAAAAAGATTCCCCACAACATTTACACCCAGCTAACTGAAGAAGAATGGCAGGATTCGGGTAAAGGAAGTGCGAAAGAGAGGCGCAAAAGAAAAAGATACAAAAAGCACAAGCAAGAAGTAACGACAGAAGGCTTCTCCACAAAAAAGCAACACATAGTGCAACAAAAGAGGTTAAAAGATAAGCAAAAAGCAAAGGTAGGTAAGAAAGGGTTAAAGGGGAGTGGATGTTCACAAAGTCAAGAAACAAGTGATACCATGGAGGAAAACTCTGATAGTCAAGATAGTGAAAAAGTCGCAATGAAACACACAAGTTATGTAAAGCAAAGATCACCGATAAGAGAGGGTGTAGTGAGTCCTTTGCAGAAAGTAACGAAGAAGGAATTGTAAGTGGTGAGTTAATGCAAAAGAAAGGGTTGCACAGAACAGAAGTGTTACGAAAAGAACGTAAAGGAGTTAAAGGTACCAAAGAGCAGTATTCTAGTGATAGTGACGATCACTCTTCTGAGCAAACTGAAACAGAATCAAAAGAAGACGATACTTCTGAAAGTGAAGAAGATAATAGTGTAGCAGAATCTCCCAAATCAAAAGGAAAGACGATACAAAAGCCAGAAATAAGGCACTCAGAAATAACAAAACAAAAAATCTGCGAAGGAAGTAACCTGAAACCTGAATCTGATAGCAAATTTGCAGAGAAAGTAGGTCAAAAAAGAAAGCGGTTTCAACAAAAAATCTGCAAAGGAAGTAAACCTGAATCTGATAGCAAGTTTGCAAAAGTAGGTAAAAAAAGAAAGCGGTTTCAAACACGAGTGAAATTGCCACAAACAAAAATAGAAAGACCTACCCAAAGTGAGGCAAGGGGAATAATGGCAATGGGTTCTCATCAAAGTTCAACAGTAGAACATGGGTCTGATATAAGCAGTATGGAGCAAGATACTCCTGTTATGACCTATAAGAGAGCTAGAGAACCTAGTGACGCCACTGCCCCTACATCATTCCCCAATTTACCGGTGAGTCGGAAGAAATCGTGGAAAAGAAAGAGAAGGAGGAGAGAGAGACTGGAGAGCACTTCTAGTTCCTCAGATACTGACGACTCTTCGCCAGAGAGTGATATGATGAGAAAAATCTCTGAATCGGAGACTAAAAAACTCAGAAAAGTGTTCAGATGTTTCTTTGGCAAACTCTGCCATGAAATCAAAGATCCAGTTAAAATGGCAGCTGAGCTACAGGCCAAACGTCTGCTATCACAATCTACAATGGAAGAAATCTTAACAACTCCCGATTCTCGGCAAGAAAAGGTAATAATATTGGTTAGATCTCTCCAAAGGAGGATAAAGTCACGTCCCGACAGGATCTTTGGAATCGTCAAATTTTTTATGCGCATTGAAGCCATAGGCAAAGAAATGTGGTTGGAAACTGGTAAGTAATGTATAGCATAGCTACTTACTTTGTCGTGTAAATATTCTTGTATTTATTGCAGGAAAAGTGTGCCCTGAGAGAGCAGCCTTCGTATTTGGCACTGCACTACCTCCTACTGAGAGAGAACCGACTGTGGAATCACTGGAAGGTAAGAGAAACGAATGATCTGACATGACTCTACTTATGTATACTGTCACATAGCTAAGTTAAGTATCACTCACAGTGATGCAATACCAGAGTTGTAGCTTTGATAACTGCAGTTTTGCTGAGTGACTTCCTGCATTCTTTAAATTCTTCCCCTCTATACATGCAGGGATAAAAGGAGAGGCAGTGCAGGGGACTCTAGGGAAAACCCACCTACCACAACCTTCGGTGGCCATTGGTGTCGGTGATAATGTAGCATTACCCACAGTAAGTCAGTCTCTGCCACAGTCTGGTATAAGTCAAGCGTTGACAAAGTATAAGCAGTACTTGCAGTCTTGTTACAATGCTAGAGTCCTAGCTCCAGCAGACAAGTACCTTCCTACCCTAGATGCCCCGTACATTAATCTTGCCATGATTAGAAGGGAGCACTGCAATCCCAAGCAAAGAGATGAGTTCACTAGACAAACACTGCATGGAGGAGTAGACGAAATTCTTCAGAGTAAGACACCCATTAACATTGAAGACCTGTTGACTCCAGATGACAGTGGTAATCCAGTCAGGTTCATTCTGGTAGAAGGTCCTCCGGGAATTGGTAAGAGTACATTTGCCTGGGAGGCATGTAGGAGATGGGATGAGATAGAAAGCCTCCGAAACTACCACGTTGTGGTGCTGCTCAAGTTGAGGGAAAAGTGGGTCCTAAATGCAGCATCACTCTCAGATCTTATAAGGTATCCATCTCACCCTGACTTCAGTAATAGTATTGCTGAAGAACTGGTTAAATTACAAGGGGAAAAGCTGCTATTTGTTTTAGATGGTTTTGACGAAGTTTCTCACAGTTTCCATGAGAACTCTGTCATAAAAAGCATTCTATGCAGGCAACTCTTGCCAGAATGTACCATCATTCTCACTACTAGACCATCTGCTAAGTCCATACTAGAAAGTATCTGCCAGCCTCGAGTTGATAAACATGTAGAAATAATAGGGTTCACAGAGGAAGAGAGAGTGAGGTATATCACTGAGGTCTTTAGCAATGAACCAGAGCTTCAGGTGAATTTCTTGAAGTACATGTTTCATGTCCCTCACGTAAAGTCAATGATGTACATTCCACTCAACTGTGCCATTATAGCACAAGTCTATTACGAGTCTCAGAGTAGCCGCCACCTCGCTATACCAAAAACCAGAACACAGCTGTACAAGGCACTCACTCATTCTCTTCTTGTTAGACACATGAAAATGAAGGAAAGCAATTTTGAGTGTACGTCTATGCTTCCTGAAGGGCTTAATATTGAAGATAAGGATATGTTTATGACTTTGGCAAAGTTTTGCTTTTGATAGCTATCATTCCAGATCAAGGAAGGTTACATTTTTTAAAGAGGATATCCCCGAGGGATTAGTTCATTTTGGGTTCATGAATGAATCAACTGAAATGTACGCTGGCAAAGGAGTGGAGCAAACATTCTCATTTCTCCACCTCAGCCTGCAGGAGTACCTGGCAGCTTGGCACCTGGCTAGTAGCTACAGCATTGAGTTTCAGGTGG